CGATTTTTTGCATTGAGTTGATAGAGTAATTTGAGTTAACAGCTCCTTAACGAGCTCAGTCTTAGAACGAAGTAAACTCGTAAGTCAAGGCCCCACTGCACATCTGAATCAAATACAATGTGTGGAGATTGTTTGAATTCTGATTCAAACAAATTTTAAGATAATCAGGGAAAGGAGAATATATATTTCTAAAAAGCCTTATTTGTTAGAAATCAATACTGAATTATTTCAGGTTAAAAGAAATATGTAATGTGTAGAATTTGCTTTAAAACTCCTGTATGTTTCAAGATGGGGCAAGAGGTGGAGAGAATAGATGAAATAAAATGGGCAAAATGTTGGCTATTCATGAAGTTTGGTACCCTGACAAAGATAAAGACATTAGTTAAAGCAGTGAAAACATTTTATTTAGTACCTGCTGACAATAGGGGAAAAAGTTAAGCTCCATTCCAATTTATGCTGCTGAGGTGACTGGTGTTTTAAGGGGTATGAAGGAGGGAGGAAGAGTAGGGGCTCAAGCGAAAAATTATAAAAGGGTTGGTGAGGGTGAGTACCCTAGAGACCAGCTGAGTGTGTGAGCTGGCAATTATCCGAGTTAAGATTCTGTCCTTCTACAAAGACTGGAAGACAGAGGCCCTATCCTTCCTGATGACTGCCTTTCAAAGGAATGGCTTTCAGGTCCTTGAGAAACACATTCCCAAGTTGTAGGAAATACATACACCTCTCAGAAGCAGGTAGGAATGATTCACAGTTTTAAGCCCTTTTTAGTAAATGCTCTAAGAAAGGAAAATCAGGGGTTTATCTTCAGTTGTTGTCTAGAAGAAACAGTAAATTCTCCTGGGAGCCTCAAGCTTTCTCAGGCAGCCATTATATTGGGGGTCTGGGGTCATCCTAGAGCAGTAATGGCGAACCTATGACACGTGTGTCCGAGGTGACATGCGCACTCATTTTTTTGGTTGATTTTTCTTTGTTAAATGGCATTTAAATATATAAAATAAATATCAAAAATATAAGTCTTTGCTTTACTATGGTTACAAATATCAAAAAATTTCTATATGTGACACGGCACCAGAGTTAAGTTAGAGTTTTTCAAAATGCTGACACACCGAGCTCAAAAGGTTTGCCATCACTGTCCTAGAGCAGTGGTTCTCAACCTGTGGGTCACGACTCCTTTGGGGGTTGAACGACCCTTTCACAGGGGTCGCCTAAGACCATCGGAAAACACATGTATAATTACATATTGTTTTTGTTTTGTGATTAATCACTATGCTTTAATTATGTTCAATTTGTAACAATGAAAACACATCCTGCATATCAGATATTTACATTACGATTCATAACAGTAGCAAAATTACAGTTACGAAGTAGCAACAAAAATAATTTTATGGTTGGGGGTCACCACAACATGAGGAACTGTATTAAAGGGTCGCGGCATTAGGGAGGTTGAGAACCACTGTCCTAGAGACGTGGCCTTACGCTGCTAGAAGCCTTGCTAGATTTTGGTTGTCTCTTGATGCAGAGGTTTGGACAGAGTCCTTATGCGCCAAAGGTTGGTTCTGCAGTTCTCACAAGTACATGGGGGATCCAATATATCAATCAGTTTTTTCTATGAGTAAAATACACTTTTATGTGTATTTTGAAAGTTTTATTAATAAAAACTTATTTTTAAATGTATATTCCTGTTGAATTAGTAATTCCTCTTTTTTTAGTAATTCCTCTTTTTTTAGTAATTCCTCTTAAAGGAATGTATACTAAGGTAATAATCAGGAATTTGGTCAAAGATTTTTATGTGTGAGGATATTTATCAAAGCAGTGATAGAGAAAAATTGGTAACAAATGTTTCCAACATTAAAAGATTTATAAATAAATTTATATCCATTAGCCTGTTAGATTGCCAGAAATTCAAAAGCATCAAGAGCCAATGATTAATGAGGTTTTGGAAGCAGGTATCCATAAATTGCTGGAGTGCTGACCCCATGGAGAACAGTTTGGCAATCTTAACAAAATTACTAATCCATTTACCTTGTAACCTAATACTTCCACTTCTGGTAGTATATTCTGCACTGATATCTTTACATATATGAAATTGTTATGTACAAAGTTATTTGTTACATTATGATTTATAATAGCAAAAGATTGGAGACAATAGAGGACTGAATAAATTGTAGAGTTTATGCAGAGGATTACTATACAGCCAGAAAAAGGATGAGGAACCTCATATCTATGCATTCAATATGGTAGTCACTAAGCTATACATGGCTATTTAAATTTGAATTAATTAAAATAAATAAATTTTAAATTTAATTCTTTGGTTGCACTAGCCGCATTTTTTAAAAATTCATTCTCTTTTAAAAAAATCTTTATTGTGAAAGTATTACATATGTCCCCTTTTCTCCCCCATTGACCTCTTCTAGCCCGCCCTCACCCCTGGCCTTCACACCTATTGTCTGTGTTCATGGATTATACATATATACATACAAGTTCTTCAGTTGATTTCTTCCTACCCATCCACCCTCCACCGCCTTCTCTCTGAGATTCCACAGTCTGTTCCAGGCTTCTGTATCTCTGGATCTATTTTGTACATCAGTTTATTTTGTTCGTTAGATGCTACATATGAGTGAGATCATGTGATACTTGTCTTTCTCTAACTGTGCACTAGCCATATTTAAAAGTGCTCAGTAGCCACATGTGGCTAGCAGCTACCCAATTGGACAGCACAGATATAGAACATTTCCATCAGTGCAGAAAATTCTGTTGGACAATGCTGCTTTATATAGTAAGTATAAAAATATCTCTAAGATACCTGTATTACTTTCATAATAAAGACACCTAAAGATGGAAAATATTACATAAAACAAAATTGAGGTTCTTTGTGAAAGATTAAAATTTGAGTTCCAAATACATATGGAATCTTTTCACAGATATATATATATTTTTTAATTAGCACCTGCCCTATTTTCTCCTGTCAAGTTACCATTTTCAGATGTAGCACTATGATGCCAGATAAATTACATATTATGGAATAAATTCACTTGGTTGCAATTGTTAAGGCAAATACAGCAGGTCCTTGGGTTATGTCGGAGATCCGTTACTACGGCATGACGTGACGCGATTTTCGCCGTAAGTCAGAACCCACCTATATAAGCACCTACGTCACTCACATGGAGCACATATACAGCAGTAATGAAGTGAAACAGTAAAAAAAATTTAAAAGAAAGATAACAATTCCTGACCTTTACTTGTGGTAAATAATAAAAAACATAAAGCATATATGTACATATGTCGAAATGATGGAACTTTTTTTTTTTATAGATAAATGGGAGATGGCAACGTAACCATGAAACGATGTACGTTGAGTCCAACGTAACCCGAGGACTGTCTGTACAGTATAAAGGATTATTGATGAATGAATGATTTTTTGACTAGTCTTTACTAGTCTTTTTGCATGCAGAAGGCTTGAATCAGGCATGCCATGTAACCTTCCTCACCTATTTATCGAGTGCATGCTCTAAATAACTCTAAATGTTACAGCTATAATCACAGCTCTCTGGAATAGTTTGAAATTAGGTTGTGATATAAGAAGTTACTTGATCTTTGTCCCAGTGCCTGGCACAAAGCTTTTAAAACCTTTGGAACTCCTGATAAGAGTATCTTTGGTGTGCTAATGAAATGACCCTTGGTGAGGGGCTCCTAGTGTCAGTATGGGGCCTGCTCGCCAGAAAGACTAAACCCTGATTAGAAACTTAAAACTTTCAGTCTTACATTCCAGCCTCCAGGGAGAACTTAACCTTTGGCGCATAGGAACTCTGTCCAAGGAGAGAATGGCTAGAGATTCAGATAATCACCAGTAGGCAGTGATTTAATCAGTCATGCTTATGTAAAAACCTCTAAGCATTAGGGTTCTGAAAGCTTCCTGGTTGGTCAACACCTAGAAGTGCTAGGAGAGAGGCATTCATGGGGAGGGCATGCCATGCCCCTACCCACTTATCTTATCCTATGCATCACTTTCATTTGGCTGTTCTTGAGTTTTATCTTTTACTAGAGGCCCAGTGCACGAATTCATGCACCAGTGGGTGCACGAATTCATGTGCCTGGCCTGAGGGATCAGGCCGAAACCGGCTCTCTGACATCCCCCGAGGGGTCCCAGATTGCAAGAGGGTGCAGGCCAGGTCAAGGGCCCTCACCTGTGCACAATTGGGGCCCGGGAGGGACACAGGCAGTTGGCTAGCAGAGAGGGACCACGGGAGGCCGTGTCTGGCCCATCTCGCTCAGTCCAGATCGGTTGGACCCCAGCAGCAAGCTAACCTACCGGTCGGAGTGTCTGCCCCCTGGTAGTCAGTGCACATCATAGTGACTGGTCAACTGGTTAACAGTCTGCCTCCTGGTGGTCAGTGCATGTCATAGCAAGTGGTTGAGAGGCCTTAGCATATCATTAGCATATTACGCTTTGATTGGTTGAACAGCCAACTGGTTGAACAACCAGACACTTAGCATATTAGGCTTTTATTATATAGGATTATAAACTGTAATAGTAATTAAAGTGTTTTCCTGAGTTCTGTGAGTCTTTCTACAAATTAATCAAACCTGAGGGAGTAGGTTGTGGGAACCCCAGGCTAGGTCAGAAGTATGGATACCTGGGATTTGTATATTGCATCTGAAATGAGGACAGTCTTGTGGGACTGAGCTCTCTAATTTGTGGGATATGATACTGACCCCAGGTAGGTAATGTCAAAATTGAACTGAATTAATTATTGGACACCCAACTGGAGAAGTGCTAGAAAAAAAACACCACTTATTTGATGTCTGGAGGGCAAAGAAAAACCTTTGAGGCATATCTTTATATGGCTGCAGAATATAGTATACTCAGAGCCTGGCTTATTTTTGTGTTATCTAAGAAGAAGAAAATAGGAACTAATTACCACCTTAATGTGCAGTGTTATTTTTTTTAAATGGGGATTTGTACTATAAATTTGAGATACTAATAAGTAATTAATTTTAAACAGATCTATAAAAAATGAGGAATTTCCCCCTCTGGAAAATAAAGCTGCAGACTTTAGAGAAAAAGAATCATCTTTGAATTTATCTTACAAAAGTCATGACTGCTCTGGTACCTGTCTCACGAAAATGCTACTAACCTTCAAGGGAGAAAACCCTCTGCAGCTACCAATTACGTGCCACTTCCAAAGACGACATGCAAAGACAAACTCTCATTCTTCAGCACTCCACGTGAGTTATAAAACCCCTTGTGGAAGGAGTCTACGAAACATGGAGGAAGTTTTTCGTTACCTGCTTGAGACAGAGTGTAACGTTTTATTTACAGATAACTTTTCTTTTAATACCTATGTTCAGTTGACTCGGAATTACCCAAAGCAAGAAGAAATTGTTTCTGTTCTGGATATTAGCAATGGAGTGGAATTGGTGCCCATTTCTTTCTGTAATGAAATTGACAGTAGAAAGCTTCCACACTTTAAGTACAGAAAGACTATGTGGCCACGAGCATATTATCTAAACAGCTTTTCCAACATGTTTACTGATTCATGTGACTGTTCTGAGGGCTGCATAGACATGTGAGTAGAATAACCTGACATTTCAAAAAATCTTCTGAATGTTAAGGGTACTTATTACGTCCTGCAATGTATCAGTTTGTCTATCTAAAACTGTTGACTAAGAATCTAAAATGGGAAATGCACTGTCTCACTAGCAATGGGAAAGAAAATTCTTTACCAGTTATAGTACAGTGGGGCCTTGACTTACAAGTGTCCCAACTAACGAGTTTTTCGAGATACGAGCCGTCTGGGCCGATTTTTTGCTTTGAGTTGCAAGCTAAAATTCGGGTTACGAGCCAGCTTCAGATACCCCATCGCTAGTTGGTGCAGCGAATGTCACAGTGAAAGCCACAACCTCAGCCCAGCATCACATGTCTCACTCATTCACTTTTTGATTTGACATATGAGTAATTTAGTTACAAGCTCCGTCACGGAACGATTTAAACTTGTAAGTCAAGACTCCACTGTAATTTGAAAATTATTTTCTCAAGGATGAGTATTTTCTTTAAGCTAGTATCATAATCATAATTACAGCTAATGCCATGTAACAGTGCCAGACACTGTGATAATTGTTTTACATACATTTTCTTATTTAATTCTCACAAAAGAATTTTCATGTCCCAAATGAGGAAATTGAGAAACCAATTGTGAAATCATAGGGCAAACAAATTAAAGAGCTACAATATTTTTTTTAAAATATATTTTATTGATTTTTTACAGAGAGGAAGGGAGAGGGATAGAGAGTTAGAAACATCGATGAGAGAGAAACATCGATCAGCTGTCTCCTGCACACTCCCCACTGGGGATGTGCCCGCAACCAAGGTACATGCCCTTGACCGGAATCGAACCTGGGACTCTTCAGTCCACAGGCCGACGCTCTAGCCACTGAGCCAAACTGGTCAGGGCGTTATGTTTTACTTTTACAAACCATTTCCTTGCTATTTTTTAGGAAGCTAATGGTGCTTATAATTAGTACTCTCTTGATCACAACATTGACATTCCATTAAAAAAAAATGAAGACATGTTCTAATATTTTAGGACTTTGAAATCATTTTGTTTTATGGGTGTGTAATATACATGATTTTGTGGTTATGCATGTATAAAATGGAATGCATTTTATGCACATTTAATTTAATGCAAGTATACCTTCCTGTACTAGGCAAAATAATGACATGAGAGGTAAAAAGAAATAAATAGTATGGATAGTAATTTTCACCATCCTGTTAGTTGGAATGTGAGAAGAGATGTATAAATCTTACAAAAGTCATATAAGATTTTGACTCCGTTCCTTTAGGCCTATCATAGAGGAAACCTGTCATTGTGCTTTTTTAATTTTCATTTTAAAATGCATTTTTTATTGTTGATAGTATTATAGATATCTCCTATTTTCCCCCCCTTCCCTCCCTCTACCCAACTCCTACCACCCACCAGGTCTTCACTACCCTATTGCCTGTGTCCATGAGCTATGCATATAAGTATATAAGTTCTTTGGTTTCTCTGTCCTCGTCCCCTCAACCCCACATAGAGGTATGTCAGTCTGTTCCATGTCTCCCTGCTTCGGGTCTTAGTATGTTGGTCAGTTCATTTTGTTCATTAGATTCCACAAATAAGTGAGATCATGTGATATTTGTCTTTCTCGGTTTGGCTTATTTCACTTAGCGTAATATTTTCCAGGTCCGTCCATGCTGTCCCAAAGGGTAAGAGATCCCTGCATAGTATTACAGGTGCATAGTATTCTATAGTGTAAATGTCTCATAGCTTTTTTTAAAAATTCTTTATTGTTTAAAGTATTACATAAGTTCCCATAGCTTTTTTTTTTTTTTTTTTTTAATATATTTTTATTGATTAAGATATTACATATGTGTCCTTGTCCCCACGTTACCCTCTACCCCCCACGCCCCCCACCCCCGCTCATGCCCTCACCCCCCCGTTGTCCATGTCCATTGGTTAGGCCTATATGCTTGCATATAAGTCCTTTGGTTGATCTTTCCCCCTTACCCCCACCCTCCCCTACCTTCCCTCCAAGTCCCGACAGTCCAATCAATGCCTCTCCGTCTCTGGATCAGTCCTTGTTCATCAGCTTATGTTGTTCATTATATTCCACAAATGAGTGAGATCCTGTGGTATTTATCCGCTCTCAAGTTCCATCCATGCTGTGGCAAATGGTAAGAGTTCCTTTTTCTTCTTCCTCTTCTTAAAGAATACCTTTCAGCATTTCATATAATGCTGGTTTGGTGGTGATGAACTCCTTTAGCTTTTTCTTATCCGTGAAGCTCTTTATCTGACCTTCTATTCTGAATGATAGCTTTGCTGGATAAAGTAATCTTGGTTGCAGGTTCTTGCTATTCATCACTTTGAATATTTCTTGCCAGTCTCTTCTGGCCTGCATGGTTTCTGTTGAGAAATCAGCTGACAGTCGTATGGGTACTCCCTTGTAGGTAACTGACTGTCTTTCTCTTGCTGCTTTTAAGATTCTCTCTTTATCTTTTGCTCTTGGCATTTTAATTATGATGTGTCTTGGTGTGGTCCTCCTTGGATTCCTTTTGTTTGGGGTTCTCTGCGCTTCCTGGACTTGTAAGTTCATTTCTTTCACCAGGTAGGGGAAGTTTTCTGTCATTATTTCTTCAAAAAGGTTTTCAATATCTTGCCCTCTCTCTCCTTCTGGTACCCCTATAATTCTGATGTTGGTACGCTTGAAGTTGTCCCAGAGGTTCCTTACACTATCTTCATATTTTTGGAATCTCTTTTCTTTTTTCTTTTTCGGTTGGGTATTTTTTGTTTCTTTGTATTTCAAATCTTTGACTTGATTCTTGGGATCCTCTTTTCTGCTGCTGGATCTCTGTAAATTATTCTTTATTTCAGTCAGTGTATGCTTAATTTCTAGTTGGTCCTTTTTCATGTCCTCCATGGTCTCCCTATACTTATTGAGGGATTCATTAAATTTATCGGCGGTTTCCATAAAATTCTTGAAAAACCTTATAACCGTGGCCTTAAACTCTATATCCAATCGTTTGCTTTCCTCCATTTCTGCCATTTGTGACCTGTTTCTTTGTCTCCGCATTTTGGTTGCTTCCCTGTGTTGATAGAGTGGCTTTGTGTGCTAGGTGTCCTGTAGGGCCCAGTAGCTCAGCCTCCCCAGTTACCTGAGGTGGACACTCTTGGTGCACCCCCTCGTGGGCTTTGTGCACAGTCTTGTTGTAGCTATGCCTTGGTTGTTGTAGGATCACTGGGAGGAATTGACCTCCAGGGCAATTGGCAGCGAGAATCAGCTGCCCTGATGATGCTCAGCTGTGTAGCAATGCAAGCCGCTGTGGGGCCTGGGCCTTCTCTTGGAAGCTCTGAGTCTATCTGGCCCGGCTGCGGTTAGGTAATTACAGGTTGCAAATGGCTGGGGCATTCATATGCAAAAGCCTCTGCCGCAGCCTGGGTGGGGCGGGGTCTCAAGGAATCAAAGGGCTGAGAAAGCAGCTATGGCGGAGCCTCAGCCCTGCCCTAAGGAGTCGCGAGTCCCAGTGTCCTGGCAACGGCTGCAAGCACCTCTGAGGGAAAGCCGCTCTCAAGCTCGCCCGCTGCCAAACAGTCCAGTATTTCCCCGTATGAGCCCTGGGTCCCCAGAGACTTCCCGGAACCGGATTTCAGAGCCGTCGGGAGCTTGTGTCTCCCTTCGGATTCAAAAAGACAGCCGCGTCCTCAGGTGCCAGACCCTTTCCGCGCGGGCGCGCACGTGCGCGCGCGCGAGCCCCCCCCGTACCTCTGCACGCCACCTCCGCAGCTCCTCCCGCTCGCAGTGTGCTTTTCTCTCCTTCTAGTTGTAGAATTTACACTCAGCCAGCCCTCCTGTAGCTCTGGATGATGTCCACCTTGTGTTTTTGATGCATTTATCGATTGTTGTGGGAAGCAGAAATTTCCCGGTGTTTATCTATGCCGCCATCTTAGTTTCTCCCCATAGCTTTTTTTATCCATTTATTTACTGATGGGCACTTGAGCTGTTTCCAAATCTTAGCTATTATAAATGATGCTGCTATGAACATAGGGGTGCATATATTCTTTCTGATTGATGTTTTGGGGGTTTTAGGATATATTCCAAGAAGTGGAATCATTGGATCTAAACAGAGTTCCATTTTTAATTTTTTTTAGGAAACTCCATACTATTTTTCATAGTGGCTGCACCAATCTGCAGTCCCACCAGCAGTGTACTAGAGTTCCTTTTTCTCCACATCCTCACCAGCACTTGTTGTTTGTTGGGGTTTTTTTTTTAATGGTAGGCATTCTGACAGGTATGAAGTGATATCTCATGACTTTGAGCATTTTTTCATGTGTCTCTTGGCTATTTGTATGTCCTCTTTGGAGAAATGTCTATTCGGGTCTTCTGCCCATTTTTTAATTGGATTGTTTGTCTTCTTTTTGTTGAGTTGTATGAGTACTTTATATATTTTGGAAATTAACTCCTTATCAGATGTATCATCTCCAAATATATTCTCCTACTCAGTGGGTTCCCTTTTCAATTTGGTGGTGGTTTCTTTTGCTGTGCAAAAGCCTTTTATTTTGATGTAGTCCCATTTGTTTATTTTCTTCTTAGTTTCCTTTGCCCCAGGACCGTGGTCGGCAAACCGCGGCTCGCGAGCCACATGTGGCTCTTTGGCCCCTTGAGTGTGGCTCTTCCACAAAATACCACGTGCGGGCGTGCATGTACAATGTGACTGAAACTTCATGGTCCATGCACAGAAGTCGGTATTTTGTGGAAGAGCCACACTCAAGGGGCCAAAGAGCCGCATGTGGCTCACGAGCCGCGGTTTGCTGAGCCGCAGTTTGCCGACCACTGCCTAGGACAGTGATGGCGAACCTTTTGAGCTTGGCGTGTCAGCATTTTGAAAAACCCTAACTTAACTCTGGTGCCGTGTCACATATAGAAATTTTTTGATATTTGCAACCATAGTAAAGCAAAGACTTATATTTTTGATATTTATTTTATATATTTAAATGCCATTTAACAAAGAAAAATCAACCAAAAAAATTAGTTC